CCGGCCTGAGAATGCCTGAAAAATGGCCTAAAAATGGCCTAAAAATTGGCTTATTTTTAGACCAACTTTTGGGCACAAATTTCAGGCCACGTTTAGGCCAAAACTTTAAGAGTATTTTTAGGTCATTTTCGGCCCAACTTTAAGGGCTTATTTTAGGCTGTTTTTAGCCCTAATTTCAGACTAGTTTTTTGAGGCCTATTTTGAGGCCTATTCTCAGGACAATTTTAGCAGAATTTTTAGGCCAATAGTTAGGCATATGTGAAGGGCTAGGCCACCATTGCGAATTGCCTAGAAATGGTTTCACATTCACCTGGTATGCTTTCTAGGCCATTTACCATGGTGGCCTAGAAAATACAAAGTTAGGCCTTCATGCTAAAGTGACCTAAAAACTCATCAGGTGCTTGCTAGGTCATTTCTAGGTCATTATCATATTTGTAACGGGCCGGGCCGGGCCGGGCTTTTTCCGAATTTCGGAGGCCCGTCCCATTCCACAAGTTTCGAAAATTTCAAAAAACACATAAGGGGGGACCCTTATGTGATTTTTTTCGATCAAAAAATTTTTTCTAGTTTTTTTTTATATTTTTTGATCAAACAGACCCCCAAAAAGCACAAAAAAAATATAGAAAATTGTATTGAGAGCTCAAAATCTCGTTTCAAAATGACAAAATTTTTGCTACCGGGCCTTGAAGTTTTTCTCAGGCCCGGCCCGGCCCGGGCCCGGGCCCGGAATTTTACAAGTGTGTTAAGATGGCCTAGAAAGCATACCAGGTTAATGTGAAGCCATTTCTAAGCCATTCAGCATGGTGGCCTAGAAAACTCAAACTCTGCAAAAGTTAGGCCATCATACTTCAAAACCTAGAAATGGCCTAACAAGCACCTGCTGTGTTTTCTAAGCCATTTCAACATGGGGGGCCTAGCTTTCCAATTTTCTAGGCCATCATGATAACATGGCCTAGAAAACGCATCAAATGCAAATCAAGCCAATTCCATGTCATTTACCATGGTGGCCTAACTTTTGCAAATTGAGCTTTCTAGGCCACCATGATAAGATGGCCTAAAAACACATCAGGTGCTGATTATGCCATTTCTAGGTCATTCAGCATGGTGGCCTAGGAAACTCAAACTCTGCAAAAGTTAGGCCATCATGGTAAAATGACCTGGAAAACCCCAAAAATCCATTTTCAGACCACAAAAACATGGATTTGATTGTGAAATACGTGAAATGCGAACTTTGTCATCTGTACGCGACACATCGAAGAACGGATCTCATCCGACACCTCCAGGGAGTACACAAAGCGTCTCCAGAAGACGTGGAGGGGGTCAAGGGGGCGTTGCAGAAGAAAAGAGCTCCAAACGGAGACGTCAAAGGTTCGTGGTGGCCTAGAAATCCAAAATTTCAATTTTTTAAATTTTCAGAAGAAACAAGCTCCGCCCCCTCGTCATCATCTAACTGACTTATTTAATGCATTTTTCAAATTTTTTTCTGCATTTCTTTCATTGTTATAACCTTTTTTTTATCACTTTCCCTCTTTTTTGTTGTTATCACTGATAAGCCACCTATCAGTTATTCCCTCCTTATCACGCAATTTTCATGCATTCTCACAATTTCTAATCATTTTTCATGCGGTTTTTGTTGTTTCTTTTCATTGTTATCAATTTTCCCTCCTCTTTCGTTATCACTGACTTATCACTGATAAGTCAGTTATCACTGACACCCTCTTATCACACACAATTTGTTGTACCCTTATCACTCAATTTATGACTGGAATAAAACGACTTTGATTATTTTTGGTATTGAAAAAAGCGTAAAAATTTGAAAGTGGAAATTCTTTTAAAAAATTATCGAATTTTCAAAAAATCTCACAGTTAGTTAAAAACAAAATCCAAAACCAAAAATAGCCTAATTTTTCAAAAACAAAAAATTTTTAACTACAGTAATCCTTAAGCAAAAAAATTACGCGACTTTAAAACTCCGAAATTGAAAAATTCGTTGAAAATTCAGAAATTCCAAAATCTAAAAAATCGATTTGAAAAAGTCTTATAAAGATCAAAGAGGCGACAATTTTGGAGATTTAACAAAGGAAGATGTGTCGAGTGACAGTAGTGGATGGTAGAGGACAGGATTACTGTAGTTCTAATTTTTTTTGAATTTCTTAATTTCCGAGTTTTCGAATTCCGGATTTTCTAAATTTTTGAATTTCTTATTTTTTGAATTTTTGATTTCCAGAATTCTTGATTTCCAGAATTCTTGAATTTCTGAATTTCTGAATTTCTGAATTTCTGAATTTCTGAACTTCTGAATTTCTGAATTTCTGAACTTCTGAATTTCTGAATTTCTGAATTTCTGAATTTCTGAATTTCTGAATTTCTGAATTTCTGAATTTCTGAATTATGATTACTCGGGCCATGAGTGTAGAACCTCCCGATTCGGATTTAGAGTCTAACGTAAGATCGTATTCGAGGGGTTATTTGAAAATGAAGAATTTCAGAGCGCCCAGCAACTGGTTGCCATACAGTGATTGATTTCTGTTGGATTTTTTTCCTATTTTTCTTTTTGATTAAAGGTTGGGGGACAGGAGATTTTTCGTAGTTTTTTTGTAGCTAGAGTATGCATTCTACCGTCACGGTGTACAACGCTTAATGTCACTCTGCGTACAGCTGTCGTCCTCGCCTTTATGTATGCAAACGGGCGTGCGCTTTCTCTTTGCCCGTGTAGCTCAGTCGGTAGCGGCACCGCACCCTCAATCATCGCCCTCACAAGTTCAACTCCTCGAGGGGCATCTTTGAACGGAATTTCGAGAACATTATTTTTTTCATGTCCCCCCACCTTTAAATGAATAAACATATGAGCAGTTAAAAAGGATGAACGCATTTATTTAACTTTGAGCGTATTTTTTGAAGGTTCTGTTCTCTCTGATTCTGGGATAGAGACATTATTTTCAAAAACTAAGCACAAAGCAACTTCTCGAACGTCTGGCATCACGGTTTTTTTTTCAGCCAGTGAAAAATGAACTTTATAATCATAAAAACAAAACTCACAGTGGTTTCTCAAAATTCGTGAATTTCTGAAAACGAATTTTGGTGAATTTCATCAGACCATCTTTGCACAAATGCTTCAGAACATCGCGTCCGTTTTCCAGTGTTTCTAAACCAGTCGGTTTACGCCCCCCCTGTCGGGGACTCAACCTCCTGGCTTCCGCTTTCTGTATCTTACAATTTAATTTCTAATTAAAAAATTTTCGAGTTTCCGAATTCACCAAAATTTGTGAAAGTTTTGCATACTATCAATTTTCTTCGAGGAATATTTGATTTCCCAAATTTTCAAAATTTCCAAACTATTGAAAAAAGATTTTTTATGTTCTGAAATCCGGAGTATGTGAACTCCCGGTTTCCTGAAGTTTCAAATTTTGGATAACTAAATGTCAGGTTTACTAAACTTTCTGTTCTCCGAAAATTCTGAATTTCGAAAGCCTCCTAGCTCCCGCTGAGCCTCCTAGCTTTCGCTTACAGTACCCGTTGTCTTATAGACAGGTTTATTCATTTTTCCAGGGACTATTTTTTCATGGTCTGTTAGGAAATTTCGAAATTCGATATTTTCGTTATTCAGAATTCCTAGAATTCGGAAAGTCGGAAGTAAGAAAATCCGGAAATTCAAAAAGTGAGACACTCGCAAGTTCATAACCTGAAAAATTAGAAATTCAGAAATTCAACTTTTCGAAACACAGTCTCGTCGAAAAATTTTTGGAACTTCGGAAAATCGGAAATGTAGGTTTCAGAATTCGAAAACTCTAAATTTCGAAAATTTAGACATTCCGAAAATTGAAAACCTGAAATGTTGGAAAATCTGAAACTTTGAAATTTTTTGGCATATTCGGTGAGTAAGATCTCAGAAAGTTAAAAAATTATTCTGAATTCTAAAAAATCGATTGATCAGAAAGGGCGCTGTCATTTTCCTCGTATTCTGTTTCTTTCTTTTTTTTCTCCTTTTATTTTCTTTCTTCTACACTGTTTCAGAATTTTTTCTTCCTTTCAAATCTTTAAAATCCATCCTAAAAGAATATTTCCACAAAAATCCTTTCTCTCAAATTTAGCGTGGATGAGAAAAACATTTGGGCGGTTAGACGGAAATGACGTGAATATTTCTTCAATATTTTTCTAAAAATTTGCACTGTAGAAATTGAAGAACGTCTCTAGAAGACGTCAGACACAAAATTTCGAAAGATTAAATATTCGGGCATCATCTAGCTGCTATTTCGGGTTATCTGTGAAAATTTGGGAAAATTTGGTTCATTCTGGACTTCGTTAGGGAAGGTGATACGGGAACAAACGGACACACACACTCACACACAGAATTTGGTGATTGTTAAAGGTGGGGGGACATGAGAAAAATAATGTTGTAGAAATTTCGTTTAAATATGCTCCTCGAGGAGTTGAACTTGTCGAGGCGAGTGTTGAAGGTGCGGCGCCGCTACCGACTGAGCTACGCGTGCAAAGAGAAAGCCGCTGCCCGATTGCATACATAAAGGCGAGGGCGACAGATGTACGCAGAGTGACATTAAGCGTTGTACACCGTTACGGTAGAATGCATACTCTGGCCCCAAAAATCCCCCGTAAAATCTCCTGTCCCCCCACCTTTAATAGTAAAGATATCGCTTTTTTTCGAATTTTCCCCAAAATCCTCTGTAGTGTAATCCGAAAAAAAAACATAAAAAATTATGGCAATTGTTATGCTAATTCTCTCATTTTCAATTCTAATTTTTCTGTCCATACCTCAATAATTCAAAAGGCTTTTCTGAAAAAAAAGAAGAGAGGAATCTTCCTTTTCAGACCAATGCCAGTGTTCTGTGTTTGCAGAAGTCCATTTTTCAAATTTAACCATTTCCAATTATTTCATTTCTCATTTAAAAATAAGGTTTTCTGGTAACTATGACATGGTAAGACCAATCGATCCAAAAGAAATCAATCACTGTATGGTAGCCAGTTGTTGGTCAGTGGACTGAAAGTTTTCGATTAGAAAAAAAACACGTCAAAAAGACACCTACAAATTACTGTAGATTCGAATCTGGAGGTTCTGTACATCCTGACCCAAGTAATTGTAATCCAGTGCCATTTTGTAATTGACTCCCATAAAATCTGCACTGCCTCCTAAATATTTTCCGCCGATCTGCAAGAACATTGATATTCAAACGGAATGTTTTTTGAAAATGACATGATAAGTAGAAATATCACTCGAATAACTAAGAAATTTCCAGAATCTCCAGGATTGGTCCAACGCAATGTGATATTTTGTAATGAGTCGTCAGGAACTGAAAATAAAATGAAATGTTTCAAGAATATTTACCACTTCTATGAAAAAAAAAATTTGAAAATTCAAAGTATGTTTATCTTACCATGATCCTGATAAGTGATTGAAATCGAGCATCCATCGGATATTAACGGATGAAAATCAGGAAGAGTTTTCGTCCCACTTCCAGATACTTGAATAGTTGTAGCATAAACCGGAAAGGGATTTTCGGAGGGTGAAAACCACCCAAAAAACTGGAAAAGGGAATTTTTCTTATTGTCTGTCCCTTCACTATTTCGAGTTCAAAACTTATCCTTTAAAACGCTTTATATCGTTTTGTTTTTTTTTATTAATTCTCAATTTTTAGCATTTTCAAAATAGATAAATTTGAAACGCTCACTTTAAAGGTGGGGGGGACATGAAAAAAATAATGTTCTCGAAATTCCGTTTAAATATGTCCCTCGAGGAGTTGAACTTGTGAGGACGATGATTGAGGGTGCGGCGCCGCTACCGACTGAGCCAGCGGGAAAAGAGAAAGCGCACGCCCGTTTGCATACATAAAGGCGAGGACGACAGCTGTACGCAGAGTGACATTAAGCGTTGTACACCGTCACGGTAGAATGCATACTCTGGCCCCAAAAAAACTACGAAAAATCTCCTGTCCCCCCACCTTTAAAGAAGCTTATGATCTAAAAACTAAATATTTTAGTTTAATTTCCTTGGGATCTATTTTTTTAATAAACTCATAGCTTTGTTCAAACGCAACATTTTTTTGAATCCTCAAAAGATGATCGAAAACTACTCACGTTCCCAAAATGATCATCATTTTCAATTAATCCCATCCCATTGGTCTTGGATGATACAGAATACATAGTTTTCGGTTGGGATCCTCCTGATGGAGCTGCCGATGCTTTAACATGGACAATGGAATGATGAGAACGGATTAAAGAGACTAATCGAGAAATATCTGCTTCATTGGGATAGCGTTTCAATAAAATAAAGATGGTGGACCCACAAACTGGGGCTTGTGTGTTGGAGAAGAATTTCTGGAAATGTTTACGTACATTGATGTATTGGAAACATATTACCTCAATAACATCGAATACATTACTCCCGACACTGGAATTTTGAAATCCTTGATTTGGATCCGGTAGATTGTTTTGAATGGTTGAGGTGGCATTGCTGAAATGTCACATAATTCGGAGGGTACAACAACTTGGGGGCTGCAAGGGGGTACAAAGTGATTTAGGGGTACAAAATTCGAATTTTTCAGGTATTTTGGACCACCGAATTGAGGATTTTGCACCCCTAACTTTGTGCAGCCCGAATCTAGTTTCTTTTTTTGAGAAATTCCAGAAACTCAAAAAATCGGAAGTTACCAAAACATCAAAACCTCTCGAATACCTACGCGATATTTGTATCAAACTGAATATTTATGTTTTCGATATCAAATCGGACACTTCCGAACCAGTAAGAATAACTGCCAAATTGAAAGATAAAATTCCATGATTGCAGAACAGTATCAGACGATAAATCATTAGAATAGGCAAATAGGGTAGTTGATGGATAGTTTCGAAAATTGCAAAAGACGTCGTCTGAAAATTTGAGTATTTAGATGAAGTTTATATATTTCAATCTGAAAAATATTTTTGATTAGGATTAGGTTTTCTGATGTTTTTTGTGTGATTGGTTAAGATGTTTTAGGGGGCTTGGGTTAGAATAGTAGAATAATAATAGTTTCAACACTATGTCACCTCTTTTGTGCCGGAACTCCTTATCAGTTAGACGGTCATGGGTTGAAACAGTTTTATGACATATTTGTCTTGTGGACAAGAGAATTCTCCTCTATTTTTCGAAAATGTGATTTTTTCAGAGGATGAGAGTACTGGCTGCCATACAGTGATTGACTTCTGTTAGTTCGATTGATCTTTTTCATTATATCTTATCTTTTTTTCGAAGTTAACAAATAAATATATGAGTATTCTAATGTTATTATAATAATACATTTATTTAACAGGAAGAAGTATGTAAATTTTTTTGATTCAATGAAAGAGACACGTTCTCGTAAACTAAACTCACAGAGGCTTCACCAAGTTCGTAATATAAGATTTCTGGATATTTTGGAATATTATGTTTTTCGTTGAAGAACGGAGAAAGAGGCGCGCGAGAGTTAAAGGCGCTTTCGGCGGCCTGTAAGGGCAAATTTGAGAATAAACGGAAAAAAGATAAAACCGAAAATAATGTAAAAAAAAATCATAATTCAGGTGTCGCGAATTCAGGTGACCGAATATCACCTCTTCACGACTTTTTCTCCTTTTCAATGAATTCTTCTTTTATTCCCTGTATTTATGTAATTATATTCACCAACGCCGACGCCGCCCACAACAATGCCGATTTGAATCATCCGCCAATTTGAGGATTACTGTACCCTGCACATCTAACTCTCAACGCGAACCAAGGAAATGCGCCCGCTTTTGGGATCAATTTAGACTCTTCAGTCTTTCTCGTTTCTCCCCCAAAACCCTAGTTTCTCGTTCCTATTTTTACCTAAATTTTATATAATATTATTCTGGTGTATTCTTGTCGGCAGAGATGATTCTGGCAACAGAATCGTTTCCGTTGTAGGCAAAGTTAGGTCAATAAATTCGGTGTGTCTTAAATTCTGTGTTCTTGTTGTCTTTTCTCTCTACCGAACATATGGATATTCAGGTTTATCCAAACATCGAGTGAGTTTTAATTTGTAAAGAATTTAACCTTTTTTGGACTTTGGATTTTTTTCAAAATTTTGCAAATATCAGAAAGATTGATAATATTATAAAACACTCCAGTTTCCGATTTCAGCAATTTCCGCGCAACCATTCAAAACAACCTACCGGATCCAAACCAAGGATTTCAAAATTCCAGTGTCGAGAGTAATGTATTTGATGCTATTGAGGTGATAGTTTTTCCAGCTTTGAAATTGTTGAATCTTGAAATTGAGACATGAAACAATACAGCAAATTATTATTTTTTTCCAGTTTGAATTTCTGAAAATATTTTTAAAAAACCTGTAAATAAGTTTAAAAAGAACGCTGGTGTTGGAAAACAGTTCGTATGTGAATTCGGGATAACTACATTTCCTCGACTCCCAAGTATACCCAACCCTTTTCAGAAATTCTTCTCCATCACAGATGCACCTATGTTTTATTGAAACGCTATCCCAACGACGCAGACGTTCTCCGATTGGTGTCTTTAATTCGTTATCATCATGCGATTGTTCACGTAGTGACATCGGCAACTCCATCTGGAGGATCTCAACCACAAGCAATGTATTCTGTGGCATCGAAGACCAATGGGATAGGAGCCTTTCAATGTGATCAGAATTTCCTATTAGTGAGTCCTTTTCAAAAAATTGCCAAATAAACACAACACGAGTTCTAAAACTTTTTGCCTAGTTGTAAAAAACTAAAGTGACTAACTACAAGAAATCCATTTTTAGGCCACCCTGTTGTTTCCAGTCTATTTTACTCCCTTTCCGGTTTATGCTACAACTATTCAAGTATCTGGAAACGGGACGAAAACTCTTGGAAACGGGACGAAAACTCTATGAGATTGTAATCACTTATCAGGATCATGGTAGGTCGAACATCTTTAAAATATTCTTTGAGGGAGAGTGATCATTCCTGAAAAAATCCAAATGGTTTTCAGTCCCTGACAACTCATTCCAAAGCTTCAATTTGCATTATGTCAATCCTTCTCAATCTGGAAATTTTGCGGCTGATCCAGAATTTGTTGCTAGTACATGGGTAGTTTTAAAAAATCACATTTAAATATGAACACTATTACAGAGCAAAGGCGGAAGTCTTGTAAGACAGGGGATGCTTACTCAGGACGCCAAAACCAAGATGAGCCTGGATTACAATTATTTGGGCCCGGGTGTGCACAACCTCCAGATTCGGATCTACAGTGGCACGTAAGAATCATTCCTAAAGGTTTGATTATCAAAATTAAAGAATTTCAGACCAACCAACAACTGGCTGCCATACAATGATTGATTACTCTTGGATTAATTAATCTTGATTCATTTTTTAAAAAGTCAATTGTATAATGATTCTCAAGGAAATATACATGAAATTCTTATCTTTCCAGAAACCAAAAAACATTGACTGTTCTTTAATCAATCCGCTGACATGTGAGAATCATTCGGGTTTGATTTTCAGAAATAAAGAATTTCAGACCTCTCGACAACTGGCTGCCATACAATGATTGATTTCTGTTGAATTAGTTGATCTTGAATTATTTTTTAAAGGTGGGGGGACAGGAGATTTTTCGTAGTTTTTTTGTAGCTAGAGTATGCATTCTACGGTGACGGTGTACAACGCTTAATGTCACTCTGCGTACAGCTGTCGCCCTCGCCTTTATGTATGCAATCGGGCAGCGGCTTTCTCTTTGCACGCGTAGCTCAGTCGGTAGCGGCGCCGCACCTTCAATACTTGTCTCGACAAGTTCAACTCCTTGAGGAGCATATTTAAACGGGATTTCGACAACATTATTTTTCTCATGTCCCCCCACCTTTAAAAGCAATTCAATAAACTATTGAAACTGTTTTTCTCTGAAATTTATCGGGTTATTCAGTGAGAAAAAAAAATTAACAAAATTACTGGTTTTTCCTCTCGCTGCATAAGGAAAAGCCAGCGATTTTGCTGGTTTGTTTCTTCACGGACTATCCCCATTATTGATTTCCTGCTCATCCACCCTTTCTAATTAGCATTTTTTAAATTTTGTTTCAAAAATATTCACTCATTTCCGAGTTACAGCTATTGAATGCACATTTGAAATTAAAGGGGGACTCCGACCAAAAAATTTTTTTACCTGCCGGACATGAAATTGAAAAAAATCCGGAAAATTTGCCACGTAGGAAAGGCTGTCAGGTGCCGTGGCCTAGGTTTCTCACTGAAATTCTCGTCCCCCGGCGGCACCTTTTTTTTTTGAATTTTCTTCCTTTTCAACGCCGTTTTTCGGAAATTTCGGATTTTTTTTGAATTTTTTCGCAATAATATTCGGAAAGTAGATAACTTTTAACACATTTTAATGCAATTTTTGGTCGGAGCCCCCCTTTAAAAAATTAATTTTCCAAGCAAACATTTTTGTGCTCCAATGCTTATCGTACTGGTTTCACATACCTGCAGTCAGTCGGTAAATACTCCGAGACATCCGCCATCAGAATTTAGAGAAAAAAACAATCATACACAATTTGCACAAATTTTATGATAACCGTCCGTTGGCCAACCGTTTGCACTATAATCACCTTATCACTAAACGCTCCCAAATCACATTCCTTTTTCGGTTCATTACATTTATCAAAAACGAACTTTACAAAATACTCGTATTCCTAAAGAAATGCCAATTTCTGAAATTTATCTGGGTAAGTCCCTCAATTAGATTTTCATAAAATGCACAGAATATTTCAGATGATCCACCAGCGTATATAGAAGAAGAAATCATCAAGAAACCCCCAGTGCAAGTTTGCGGACCACCAGAAAATCCAGTTTTTGAGCCCGTGGAGTGAGTAAAAACAGTTGTCTGACTAGAAATTATTGATCGTTCAGACGCCAACGACACTTTGGAATTCTGACCTACACAGTTAACGATAGGTTAAAAAAAATGATGATTCTTCATGTCATACTTATACTTCTGCTCGCTGGAAATGGTGTTACGCTTCTGACTATTCTGCTACATCAAGGATGTTCTGAAGGTAGATCAAAAGACTTTCAAGATTGTTAAAATAGATATATTTGTCACGGGCCGGGTCGGCCCGGAATTTGACAAGTATAAAAATAGGAGAGCTTGTATTGAATAGAAGAAAAGTATTTTTAGTTACGGCCACTACCTCTAAAACTGCTTCTACTCCTACATATACTACTACAACTACAACAACAACAACAACTACTACTACTACGACAACTAAAATTCCAACAACCACTACTACCCGAATCGATCCTCAGAATTCAGAATTAACATCTACAACTCCAGAAGAAACGACTGCAACCAGTAGTACAAGTATCAAAACCACTCCGGATCCTGGTAAGTTATTTTTGCACTGATTTCTCAAAATTAGGTTAGAATTCGAGTTAATTCTTAAAGGTTGGGGGGGGGCAGGAGATTTTTCAGAGGTTTTTTGGAGTTAGGGTATGCATTCTACCGTATGCACTCTGCGTACAGCGGTCGTCCTCCACAGGGTAACGGCTGCGCATGGTATATGCGTTGGCGCGGCGCCTCATATGGACGACATAGGTACACCGTTTGCGCGCATATAGTACGCTATATGCGCGCACGCGCCATCGAGATCGGGCATGACGCGTCCATATTTCATCTACAATTTCAGGCGGGATTGGCGATAAATATCTTTTATTCTATTAGTTCTTATTAGTTCATCTAACTATAGTTGTAATAAGATGTGATTTTGTTCAGATCTTCCAATATCGTTCATTTTCCCTTTCAGATTTCACAGAGTGACCATTTTTCCAGTTTTCACAGAATTTTCTCACTGCAAGAAAAATTATAGGCCGGAAGTTTAAAATATCTGGACGATATAACATAATAAATTTTTCCTTCAAAATTGCGATATAGAAAACTTGTAAAAAATTCAACAAAGTCTTGAAATTGGCATTAATTCGCATAATTTTGTTTTCGAAATAATTGTGTGTTTCTCGGATTTTTTCCTACTTTTACTTCGGAAAACTTACCAACCAACCTGTATTCCACCTGAAAAATATATTATTCCGCTTATTCCGAAGCAAAACAGAAAAGTCCTAATTTCAAGAAAAACCGGATTTTGTAAAAAATTTTACCAATTTCTTTACTAAAAATTAGTTTTATTTTCGTTAGCCATAATTTTTAGATGTGAAAACAGTGAGAAGTTCTTTGAAAGCAGGAAATATGATCAATATGATCGAAAAATTGATCAAGATCGGCGGTGAAAAATGTTGCTAAACAACGCGCACTAGCGTAATAGCGGAGTGTCGTTGGTGGGTTGTCGTTTTCATGGGAAAAGCGTGCATGCTATATGGATGCTATATGGGTGCGCCCACCGGCGACCAGTCGTGCCCAGCGACGACGCATATAGCGCGCACGCGCTACCCACGAAATTATTATGGGTGCACATAGCATCCTATATGCGCGCCTAGACATATACCATGCGCAGCCGTTACCCTGTGAAGCCTTTATGTATGCAACCGGCCGCCGGCTGCCGCTTTGCCCGCGTGGCTCAGTCGGTAGCGGCGCCGCACCTCCAACACTCGCCTCGACAAGTTCAACTCCTCGAGGAGCTTATTTGAACGGAATTTTGAGAACATTATTTCTTTCATATCTCGCCATCTTTAATATAGTTAGAAAGAATAGATTTCAAAAATATCAAAATATTTGTTCTCGATTAAATGAAATTTTTCAAAATCTCGTATACAACCCTAGCCTCTTCCTTTCATTTCTGAAATATCATTCACCACTTTTTCTGCAAAATTCACTTGTTTTTCTAATTTGCCCTTCCTATTTACACTCTTCTAAACTGATAAGAAGTTCCTCTTTCAGAAGATGGGAAGAACTGATAATAGAATGAAAATTCCATCGGAAAAAAATGGAAGAGTTTCTTCTGATCAGAAATTTAACACCATAAGCGGAGAGGACAAATTTGGGAATAAACGAAAAAAAAAGAAAAAAACTGAAAATAATGTAAATCGAAATCATAATTCAGGCGATACCTCCTGCGGTACTACAAGACCATTAACATTCCTATTCGCCTATTCTAATGATTTATCGTCGAAAACGGTTTTGGATTCACGGAATCAATTTTTAAATAACGTTGGTATTCAAAAATTTTCTTATTACGGCAGTGTTCGATTTGATACATCATCTATGGATATTCCGATTTATTCAAACATAAAGTGAGTTTTAATTTGTAAGGCTTTCTTGAAATTCGGATTTTTAAATTTTCGATAATATTGGAACGAATAAAACTGAAACACTCCAATTTTTTGATTTCAGCGATTTCCACGACGCCATTCAAAACAACCTCCCTAATCCAAACATTGGTTTCCAGTCCTACAGCATCGGAAGTAATGTATTTGATGCTATTGAGGTGATGTTTTTTCTAACATTGAAATGGTTGAATCTTGAAATTGAGACAAAAAGCAATACAGAAAAGTATCAGAACTTTGAGAAAAATTAACAAACATTCGGGATATTGTCTATTCAAAATAATCGCGCGGATGAACGAGTAAAAAAACGTGTAGAGAGTCTCCAAACCTGTAGAGGCGCTGTAGAGACGCAGACATTTTTACTCGTTTACTCGCGCGATTATTTTGAATAGACAATAACTACATTTCTTCGACTCCCGAGTTCACTTTACTCTTTCCAGAAATTCTTCTCCATCACAGATGCACCAGTTTGTGGGTCCGTTATTTATATTTTATTGAAACGCTATCCCAACGATGCAGACGTTCTCCGATTGGTGTCTTTAATTCGTTATCATCATGCGATTGTTCACGTAGTGACATCGGCAACTCCATCTGGAGGATCTCAACCACAAGCAATGTATTCTGTGGCGTCAAAGACTAATGGGATAGGAGCCTTTCAATATGATGAGAATTTTTAATTAGTGAGTCTTTCAATGATTTGCGCCCAATGCAAGAAAATAGTTGTTTCCAGTCTATATTACTCCCTATCCGGTTTATGCTACAACTATTCAAGTATCCGGAAGTGGGACGAAAACTCTTCCAGATTTTTATCCTCCTATAGAAGATATTTATGAGATTGTAGTCACTTATCAAGATCATGGTAGGTCAAACATCTTTTAAAGGTGGGGGGACAGGAGATTTTTCGTAGTTTTTTTGTAGTTTTCTGCGTGTATACACCCAATGCGCGCTATTTGAAGACAATTTTTCTGGAAAATTATTCACTAGATTTCTTCAATGTTCGGTAATTATTCCCGACTGTTTCTTGTTATTCGGCCATTCTATGATGTCGCCGCATGAAAACAGAAAAAAAACGAAAAATCACAGATGAGAATCGAAACCCCCGATGCGCGATATGCATTCTACCGTAACGGTTTCTCAATGTCACTCTGCGTACAGCTGTCGTCCTCGCCTTTATGTATGCAACCGGGCAGCGGCTTTCTCTTTAGCTCAGGCGGTAGCAGCGCCGCACCCTCAATCCTCGCCCCCACAAGTTCAACTCCTCGAGGGGAGTATGTAAACGGAATTTTGAGCAATTTATTTTTTTTCATGTCTTCCCACCTTTAATCGTTCGAGTTTTTTTAGATGGAAGAGTGATCATTCTTAAAAAATTCCATTTTGTTTTCAGCTCCTGATAACTCATTCCAAAACTTCAATTTGCATTATGTCAATTCCTTCGATTCTGGGAATTTCGCAGTCGATCCAACATTTATTTCTGCTAATTGGGTAGCTTTTAAAATTATCCCATTTGAATATGAATACTATCACAGAGCACCGACGGAACCATTGTAAGAACGAGGATGAATCTTCAGGTAGTCTATTCCAAGATGAGCCTGGATTACAATTACTCGGGATCGGATGTGCACAACCTCCAGATTCGGATCTACAGTGCCACGTAAGAATCATTCCTAAAGGTTTGATTATCAAAAATAAAGAATTTCAGACCAACCAACAACTGGCTGCCATACAATGATTGATTACTCTTGGATTAATTAATCTTGATTCATTTTTTAAAAAGTCAATTGTATAATGATTCTCAAGGAAATATACATGAAATTCTTATCTTTCCAGAAACCAAAAAACATTGACTGTTCTCTAATCAATCCTATTGAATATTCAATGATTCTAATTGACTTTCAAATCCTTCCACATCGTTTTCCTCTCCCTCTCCTCCTCTTTCTGGTTCCTAATATCAGTCCATTCGAAAATGAGAGCTCTCCAATTGGTTCTCTTCCTATTCTTCCTCTCTTTTTTCGATGCTTGTTTGGTAATTATCAAACTTCAAAATGACAAGTGCACTCCAAATGATAATACCACATATACAGTACTGGCCAAAAAGGTATTCGCAAACGGTTTTTTGAGAGTAACTTTGCTGAAACTTAAGGGATCGATCTGAAAATTTTACTGTGCATGTCGTACATAGTGACGACAAATTGCGTACAAGGAAATTGCATCATTTTCAGAAATTTTTTGTTTTTTTCAATTTTTTCAATTTTTTCGTTTTCCTATGTATTTAAAACTGTTTACAGACATGGCCAGACCCCTCGGAAAAAAAACATCTCTCAGGACATCCGTAAAGCCATCGTCATCGGCTTCAGAAGTGGATGTTCCAAGGACCTCTTGGCGCAGCAGTTCAATGTTACTAAACGTGCCATCGAGAAGATCTTGAAGCAGTTTCGGGATGAGGTAATATTCAAAAATAGTATAGTTATGGAAAAAAATGTTTAGGGAGCCTTGGTGGAGCGAAAATCGCCTGGAAGACCGCGTATCACGTCGAAGAACATGGATCGGAACATCGTCCGAGTTTCAAGAGAGGATCCCCAGAGGAGTTCTACGGACATTCAGATGGTCGTGAAGACTCCAAATGAAGTCACACCATCCCTGAGAACCGTCAGAAGACGTCTTCAAGATGCTGGACTCCATGGACGACGGCCAGCTAAGAAACCATCGATCAGCAAGAAGAACAGAATCGCCCGCGTAGCATGGGCCAGAGCTCATCTCCACTGGGGACGTCAGGATTGGGCTAATCACGTGTTCAGCGACGAATCCAAGTTCAATCTGTTCGGTACTGACGGTATCAAGTGGATTCGCCGTCCGGTTGGATGTCGGTTCGATCCGAGCTACCAGCTCCAAACCGTCAAGCATGGAGGTGGATCGGTGATGGTCTGGGGCTGCTTCTCTGGGACTTCAATCGGCCCGCTGAGAAGAATTACAAGCATCATGGATCGCTTTGTGTATGAAGACATCTTGGAGAACACAATGAGACCCTGGGCAAGGTCTACTGTGGGCCGGGCGTTCGTTTTCCAACAGGATAACGACCCGAAGCACACCTCGAAGCACATCAAGGAGTGGTTCCGACGCCGCCACGTGGATCTTCTGGACTGGCCAAGTCAATCTCCGGACTTGAATCCGATCGAACACCTCTGGGAGCATGTCGAGAGACAGCTTAGAGGGGTTCGTGCCTCGAATGCCAACCAGAAGTTCGACCAACTCCAAGATGTCTGGCAGGCCATCCCGATGTCTGTCATCGACACCCTTCTCGACTCGATGCCAAGAAGATGTCAAACGGTAATCGACGCCAAAGGCTTCCCAACGAAGTACTAAAGCTATTTTATTCATTTTCTATTGTTATTTTTCGTTTACCGGTCTATCCTAGATCTCAGAAGTCAAAGTTCCATTTACCGGTTTTTTGCAATTTTCATGAATTTTTCGATTTTTTTTCAATTTTTTGAAATTTTGACTATTCTTGTTGTTGAATCAGTTTCTTTTACCGTTTTAAACTTTGTCTTAAAATATCAGATCGATCCCTTAAGTTTCAGCAAAGTTACTCTCAAAAAACTATTTGCGAATACCTTTTTGGCCAGTACTGTATGATCGCTTATTCAAACGATCTTGGCTCGGATCTCATTCTGAGAGTGCTTAACTGAGTGCTTACTTTTCTACATTTGTATCGACTTTCCACATTTGTATCGACTTCGAGAGTGCTTACTTCAGTTCCTGTTATATCTTGTATCAGACTACGTCTGTACCGAACCGCTCCGAACAACTTTTTTCAAAGCAAAAATTTTCAAGTCTCATGTGATACGTTACCAGACCGAAATGTAAAATAGTCTAGTGTAATGAGATATTTTCAACATTTTTTATAGTGGATTGATTCTTAACATTGCTGGTATCGATTTCAACTGTAAATGCCTCTCCTTGCAAATTTCAATGATCTATGGAAACCTGAATTTTGTTACGTTGAAACGTATGCAAGTTTGTAACATCCCTCATTATAAAATAGACTACAGTGGATTTCTCCAAATCTTTGATCCATTGATGCCTCTGACGCCTTCATCCGTTGTACAACACTGTAAAACTCGTTGAAGCAAAAAACCAGACGGTAGTGTGTCGCTAATCTTATCTAATCGGCATTCAGAGTATTATTAACACTATCACTGTCACCAGACGCATGGGTTGATTGATTACACTGTTCCGCGCGGAAATGCCGTCCGATAAGGAGAGAAACGTTTCCTGCGTTGATCATTTATTAAGCCACGACAGCAACAGCTTTTCAGGTCCCACCTAGCCGGGTTCTGGGTACGATTCGGCTAAAAAAACGATCTAGATCAGTTGAAGGTTAAAAAAGTTGGGAAGAGTGTAATGATAAATCTCAGAAAAAATTGGGTATATAAGCTGATGCGGAGGTATGAAGATTATCATTCGCTGATCATGCTCTCTCTTCGTTCCCTCATCATTCTCTTCGGTCTTTTGGCTGTCGCTTTGGCATGTGCTCCACATATGCCAAAGAGAGAAGTACAGCACGGGTACTGCAAGTTTTACGGTGAGACTTTTCAAACTGTCATATTTTGAAATGAATTTTTTCAGTCGATGGAAAGAGTGACACCGACAGTGCTCGTAAGAAGAGAGACTCAGGATCAGGATCTGGATCCGGAGAAGGTGGTGGCAAGAAGTACAACCGCTCCAAGAAGAGAAAGAATGTCAAGTGCTACGAATACGAGGATGGAACCAAGGATGAGGGAGCAGTTCTTGACAAGGGAGTCACCTACACCGTCACTGTTACCAAGAGCTAAACTATATATGATTGTCAGTTCAAAATTGTTGTATGTACATATTGAGATATTTATTTTTGTTTTAAATTGTTTTAATAGGTAGATAAATTTTTATCATACAGAGTTTTGATTCTCACCCAAAAGGATAGTCCAACTCAATGAGCGAAATGAAATTTAGAAAAATATAAGTTTTGAAGTATTCAGGCACTACCAGATGGAAATTTGCATGTTCTAGCAGGAGTGTTATTGTTTTTCTGAAAGATGTTACAAACCATCAAGAAAATTTAAAACAGTCATTGCAATAACTTAAAATGGTCAATACTCAGAATTTTGAAGTGAAAACCGTTATCATTAACCAATAAGAAGATACTGTCATGAAAAGACAAATATCCATTATCTTTTCCTGATCCCAAAAATTGAGAAATTTAAAAAAAAAATACTTCACAAGCCATTATTGGAATATTGCGGTTCCCGAGATGCAATATTGTCAGAAAACTACTGGAATACCGTAAAATCTATAGTACAATAGTATATATTTTCCGAGTTCTTTTCGAAAGACCCTTCTCGTACAGAAACACTTCATTTTGTCTATTCTAATACTTGTTATATCAGAACACAGTAAACTGTTAATGGAAAGTATCAGAGATAAGTTTGTTGCAATCGAATGCGCATAATGAGAGAAAGTTTTAAAAGGGAAAGCTTTGTCGTCTCGTTTGAGTAATATGATCAATCATCTTGATAAGCCGCTAAATGACGTAGAACGGAAGAAAAAATGAGATGAACTTTTTTACTTCTCGGCAATTTTGAAGACGTCCACATACTATTAGGATGATTTCCCCGCAACTTGTTATAATGCATCCATCATTTTGTTTCGGCACATCCCCAAAGCAATAGTATAAAAAGCGAGGATATCGCTTGTCATATTTTCTCCGACCATGACATCGATAAGGATTTTTATACTGCTTTTTGCCGTTTGTTTTATCTCTTTAAATGCATGCGGTGCTGGGCCGGAAAAATCAAAGCGTGGATATTGCAAGTTCTACGGTAGGTACCTCATGAAATGATCCAAAATGCATTGTCATATTCAGTGGACGGATCCAGTGATACAAAAGCAAGCGGAAGAAAAAAGAGACAATCCGGAACAGCCACGGGGTCCGTTGATCCTGCAACAGGCACGGCTTCTGGGTCTGCGTCAACAATGTCAACAATGACAACCACAACTTCACCAATGGGTGACGGATCCGCAAGTGGATCTGCAAGTGGATCTTCCAGCTCAAGCAGTTCCAGTAGTTCGAGTAGCTCTAGCTCAGGCTCTGCAAGTGGTTCAGGTGGATCAGGTGGATCAGGTAGGTCATCAAAATCCAGTGAATCAAGTGAATCACGTCGTCGATCAGGTGGCTCTGGTGGATCCGGTGGATCAGGCGGATCCGGAGGCGGTGGAGGAGGTGGAGGCTCAGGAGAACTCAGTTCTAAAGGACCCGATGGTAAATTCACGGGAAAGAAAAAGCAGAAGAATAAGAAGTGCTACGAGTATGAAGATGGAAGCAGAGATAACGATGCTAAACTGAAGAAAGGAGTTACATACAGTAGGATTAATTTATAATATTCATGAAAATCGAATGTTTTACAGAAGCGACCATTACTGCCACTGGATCATAGGACTTTGGTGTGCAACGGATCGGCGTTCAGCAATATAAGCAGTGCAATCTTTGCATTAATTGATTAGTAGATGTTATAAAAAATTTTACTACCGTTTGATTATCTTTAGGTACTTTAATAAGTACTTTGTAAAATATACGTTGATGTAAAAACCAAAAATCCAAACCTAAAGTTCTACGGATATGAAGACAGAAAAGATGTAAATTGGCTGAATCAGACAAGCGCCTGAGAAAAATTCACAATTGGAGTCTGGAGAGAAAATTGTTCTGTTTTTTTAATTGTTCTTCTTCTGTTCCAATAACTTGTGGATAATTATAGTAATTCATTTACAAATTAAAGAACTCACTTTTCAAATTCAAAACGACGAAGGTTGTGTAACGTATAATAAACACATTTTAATAGATATCATTTAGTAAAATCTTTAGCCCAGAGTTCCGCAATAATTCTATCACAATACTCTCGGATCTTTGGGTAATGACTATCGATAATTCTTTTGGAACTTGTTAGGGAATGGGTAGTATGCAGATGCAACTTCTCCGAAAACTGCGCAGTCAGCCTGAAAATCAAAATGTGCCGTTAATGAAAATAATAAAGCAATTACCGATGTGATCTTGTCACCGAACAAGAACTTTCCCCGAATAGAGTTTTGCACAGCTACAAGATCTTTGTGACACAGCAACTCTGTCTCTTCTTCTGTGAAACTTCCAATTGAGAGTCCAACTCTTGCATGGACCTATGACAACAAAGTTGGTGAAAATCTTTAATCTTTTCTTCACAAACCTTGCTCATGAATAATTTTTTGATTATTGGACGAAGAATTGTTTTCAAAAAGTTTGGTCCTGGAACCCCTCTTAACAGGGCATCGTACCATCCTTCTTCCGAAGCCTTGTACTTCACAATGAGACCCAATAAATGATTGTCTACAAGTCTGGAGATCGCTGTTGCCTGAGCCTCCAATTCTGGTGCAAGATTCTGAAAATGCGATAAACAATGTTACATTACTGATTAATTTTTTTGCTTACCGGAACATGGAAATGCTCTCTGAGTTTCGTCTCAATGAGATCCGAATCTGGAATGTGCTCCCCGTTTAGCTCAACGAAAGGGAGTGTTCCATTTCTAGACCGCAATGATGGAGTCTCAATAATTTCATGAGGAATCTTGAAGGCTCTGAGAAAAGTTTCAATTTTCAAACAGTAAGATGAAAGATTCGGAACGGTATTTGTGCGAGGAAATTGGTAAAGGTAGACAACATCTTTTTGGAAATCTGGTTTGTGGATCTGAAAAAGTCCAATAAAGTAAAGATGGGCTCTATTAAAAATAATACCTTTGGAGTAGAAGGGACACTCGGAGTTGTGAAAAACGTTTTGAAAATCCAGAAGATTAGTTTCAGCAAGTATAAGACGATAATTATAATAGCAATGATCTCCAAAATCATTGCGCCTGAAAGATGAAACATTTTGAATTCGATTGAGATTGAAAACACGAAAAATCTCAACGACGTTTATATACAGAAAGAATGAGATGATCCGAATATGATGTAACTCCCTCTCCTAAAAGTCTATGAATCTTCTGTTCTCCATATTTCAAATTAGGATTCAAGTTAGGATCTTCTCAATAAAATCAATAAAACGAGACAAGCCAATGACGGGAACAGTAGAGACTCTTCTCCACTACTAGAGCCTTTAAGTGTGGATTTGACCTCGGATTGAGGTAGATTAGGTCCTCGATTCTCTTTTTCCCATTATGATCAATTTTGTGTCGGACACATTTCCTCACCCCTGCGTCTTTGTACTCTCTCAAGAACACATGTGGAGAAGACAGTTGAGATAACACTAGATATAATTGGTGTACGCCAGGTTTGTTTGGTCGAGAAACATTTTTTTCTTGGTTTCTTTTTAAAATGTACCCAGGGATTTTTCAGCTTTCTGAATAAACCTTCTTTTTTTGTTAACAGGTAAGACGAGGTTACCGAAAAGCGTACAACCGGCGAATGAAGAACAGAGAGTTGGTTTTAACTTAACTCTTTAGAAAATGGTTCGAGACAAAAAAGTATAAAAGGCAATTATTAGTACTCAAACCATAATGAAAAAAAACTGATTTTTTTGATAAAAAATTTTGAAAAATTTGATTTCATGGATTTTTTCTTTTTTAAAGCACAATTTATGAAGAAACATATTTTTCATTAAGGTTCGAGTACTAATGATTGCCTTTCTTTTTTGTCCCAAATGTTTCCTCATTTGCTTACTATTAGAGGCGCAAGCTATAGCCAACTCTTGGATCTTCAGCTGCCGATTGCACGGTTTTCAGAAACTGCGCCTTACATGAACGTTTAACTGCATGTTTCGACTTATACATGAGATAAAACAGTTTATTTATCATTTTCCGAAAATAAAAAGAATATTTTAGCGGGACTAAAATTAAACACAGAAATCATTTGGATAAACTTGACTTTTGACTCTTTCACAAAACTCGAGAATCTTTGGGAAATCCTTTTCTAGAACCTCCGTGATATGAGTGTGGAATGGATAATAGACAGCGGCCAGTTGACTGAAAAATGCATCATCCACGGGAGTGATTTGATCTCCAAATAAGAATTTCTTATCTTCAAGAACCGTTTCGAAAACTTTCAAATCTCTATGAAGCAGCTCGTCAAGCTCTTCTGGCTCAAAATCTCCAATTGCTGATGTGGAGTTTTTATAGATTTGTCCTCCAATTATCTGTTTCATGAATGGGATTGCGAGTGGAATGATATAGGGATTGAAGTCCAAAAGTTCGAGGAAAGTCTGTAGAAGATGTTGTCAGCACAGTGGTATCTCATCAGAATACTGAATAGATGAGTTTTTTCTAATATTGATAAATTTACCACTTACTGGAAGAGGTGGTTGTCTGCCATTCTAGTCAATGCTGTTGCATGAGCTTCTTGTTCAGATGGTAGACTCTGAAATTTTATATTTCAACCAGCCTTCTGTTTGCCGCGCCTCCGGCGCTTCACAATTCAAGCTTTTTTCAATTATTCGTCGCTCCACTCCTCACTTTTCAATTTTTCTTTCTCACGCTGTAGAACATCTACGCCCTCCCACAGGTAAAATGCGAACGGGTTCGTTACGGACGCTTCGCGTTCGCGCGCGCTTGAAATAGGAACCGCATACGGACCGCACGCGAACCGTTTTCAGTAAATAGCAAATCAGATGTTTTATTGAGTTCGCAAACGGATCCGTTTGGCCATGCTT